CGGCCGGGCGCGCTCGCTTCGCTCGCTCTCTTCTGTAGAGGTTTGGAGGTATAAGGGACAAACGTACCTTGCTATTATGATGTAGGTGTAAAAAATGCGCGCCCGGCCGACGTTTCGAAATTCGCGCGAATTTCGAAACGTCGGCCGGGCGCGCTCGCTTCGCTCGCTCTCTTCTATAGAGGTTAGGAGATGGATGGGACGAACGTGCCTTGCTATTATGATGTAGGTGTAAAAATTCGCGCGAATTTCGAAACGTCGGCCGGGCGCGCTCGCTTCGCTTGCTCTCTTCTGTAGAGGTTAGGAGATGGATGGGACGAACGTACCTTGCTATTATGATGTAGAGGTAAAAAAAGCGCGCCCGGCCGACGTTTCGAAATTCGCGCGAATTTCGAAACGGTCGGTCGGGCGCGCTCGCTCTAGCTGTTAATATGGCTTTTATAGATTGTCTGTTAGAACAATCAACCCTATATGAAAGGTATTTTTAGCAATAAGTTTCGCATGGTAGCTCTAGTTTTAACTAATAATATATTTTGTAGATTGTACTATAATTTTGCTCCATAAAAAGCCTCCTTCCTTAAACTTCTTTTGCATCAATTAAGACGCCGTTTTTAATTTTTTGGTCCATTGGGACAGTTAAAGTTAAATATATTTAGAAAAAACTAGTGATTTTGGTATATGAAACAACAATTTCAGCCAAAGTTTTACACAAAAGAAATAAACAAACTTTATTAAATAAAAAACTCAAAAGAACATAAAAGGAACAAACAAAAAATATAAAATTAAACCAAATACAAACATAATAATTTTTACATTTCCAAATCTTCTTCATCTTCTTTCCTGTCTTCATATTCTATCATTGCTACTTTATTTTCACAAATTTTAAATAATTTTACCAAATTTAACATTTTAAAAGATATAATTTTGACTTTTTTAAAAAGAGCACAAAATTTAAATGTCAAAGTAATTATTAGGTATTTTTTGTTTTAGTCGGGTCAACTCTGAATAAAAACCGGCAACACTGTAATTTAAAGAAAAAATCGATTTTCATTCAGAAAATCTAAAGTATGTCATAATACAAATTAACAAATTAAAACATGATATTAACTGCGTTAGTTCATCAGCTGATTTTAGTTTACAGTTAAAATGGCTTTTTAATGATTATTTCTGTATTTTTTTAATAATTTTACAGTAGATACATCAAAACAAAAATATCGATTTATAGAATATATCGATTATATACAATAGAATTCTGTCATCGTGTCATCGGATTATTAGTGGTTTATGACTTTTCACTCAAAAAAATGGTGTAAAAATTCAAAATAAAAAACGAAAAAAATAAGGTGCAATAGTAGTTCCGCTAAAAAAAAAGTATGGTAGCGAATTATAAACAGTCTATACAACATTTTCTCAAATTTTTGTAAAAATCGGTGAGTTTTGTATATACTCAAATTTTTCCGGTAATTTAAATCTTCTCCTTTCTACTTTCAAACTTTCATTCTTGCAGCTGCCTTCCGATTCTTCTTTAAGGATAAACTCGCATCTGGCAGTATAGTTAATCATCTCTTCTTTGTAATGTTCTACTTCATCCATTTCCTCTTCGATTTCTTGTGGAGTAACGTCTGAACTAAATAATCCCTCTCTAATATGTTCGTCCAAAGCAAATATTCTTTCTGACTTGCTCTCCAATTGCCTCATGTAGATCACCACTTGCCCCCTAACTGGATTTGAATGGGCTAGTGCTACGTCGACATCTTGGCAAGTCTTCTTAAAATATTTTCGTAACTGATTTCTTTCAATCTTAAGATTTTCCATTTTTTAACGCTGTCACGGTCGCCAAATATTAGAAATGTGCAAGTAAAAGAATGGAATAATCGTGAATACTTTTCTCTTTGACAAATATATTTTTATTAATGACAAAATTACTGACAACTCTCAAACTAAGTCTAACAATAAGTACATGGGTAAGTATCAACTCTAACAGTAACAAAGCCTACACAGAACACGAGGCTAAAAAAAAAAAATGTGAAACAGAAAATGGTTATTATAAATAGTCCCGAGTGAGATGAACAATAAAAATGGCTGCGCCCATCGAGTCACACCTTGCTCTAATAGTACAACATGTACATTGGCATTCTACCCCCCCTCCAGGGGCTCGATTCTCGAGTTCATTGGAGAATTTTCCCATGAGAAAATATTCCACTACTTATATTCCCATGGTAATAGGTTATGCAATTCTCGAACTTGTCGGAATAGACATTCCCATGGAAATAATAGTTTCACGTATGTCTGATATTAAGTTCACGAATATTTCGAAATAACCAATAACATTAAAGATATTTTAAAATTTACTGTTGGTATTATTTGTATTTGTTGTGGATGAAAGTGTATTCCTGAACTGGCGGCATTCGTCAAATTTATTAACGTATGCGCTAAGAAATGATGATTTTCAAAGAGCGCTCATGACCGTTCGACAACTACTTTGTCGCATTCGTTTAGGTGAAAGTAAGGTTATAATTGTCAATTAATCCTGCTTTATCATATGTGATTCGTGTTTCTATCTATTGGTTTTGTTTTGTGATTTATTATTGGGAAATATTTATTGTTAATTTGACTCTATTGAACATTTTATTAGAATATAAATTATGAAACTTTTTGTACCGTGAACTCTTTTATTGGACGTTTAGGTGCCACTTTATTTTGATTTAATTTTATTTAGTATGGATGATATAGAAGAAATATGAGTTTTACAGGCACTAAACAATGTTATAAATTCTACTAAAGTTTCACGCAATTTTTCCGTTATTCGTGAAACACGCTGTTCCTATTTTTAATATTCTAAATTTAAACCACTCCAATTCTCAAGTCCAAAATACAAATAATCACAGTTAAAACGTCTAAAAACCAAAAATTATTAGACATCCAATCCATTTAATTTTATAATTTTTGGCAATTTTGACATGTGTCAATGCAATTGTCTCATATTCAGTGATACCATCTTTGGTATTCTCAATCCTCATTGGTTAAGACTATGCAATAATCAAAGACTCTTCGTTAACACGTTCGACTTGATTCGCGATTATCGCATGGTGTTCAGGAATACTAAATTGCTGTCGTATGCGTTAACGACCATGCGTTACTTAGCGCATGCGGCAGTTAACGCATGTTTCGAGAATTGGGCCCCTGCGAGCCTCTGCCAGTGTTGCCAGTTTGTTACAATTGTAACAAATCTATTACATTTTTGAAGGGTTTATTACATTATTACATGTCCAATAAATCTATTACATTTTCACGATTGATAAACTTGAACCTAACCCTTGATTTTCTATGTTCCTAATATATTGTTTATTATTTCATACAACTAATACCATCTTAAACAGGTTTATTTGGTTGTTTATCCCAAACATATTTTCTTGAACATGCCCAAAGCGCTTAAAAAGTTTCTTATATCATTGGACCTTGCATTGGAGACAGAATATCTTTTTTCTTCGTTTTCTTTACAAAAGATTTGTTTCAACCCCAGTACAGAACCGTTCTGAATTTATCTGCGACAAGTTAGAAGTTTATACTTTTTAAATTTGAATTTTGAGATCAACCTAAATTTGAAATCTAAACAAACTAATTACTTTTATATTCACGCTAGCATAAACAAAGGATACATTGACAAACTTGGCTTCACAGAAAACTTACTTTCCGGCATGGAACGACCACCTCATTCACATCTCATTTTAAATCGAGATGTAAAAAATGTAATCTGGATAGGTACATCTCGGATAAACAAACGCAGATGTAGATGTGTCCGATGTGGTTAAACAAACGCTCGAGATGTAAAAAAATGCATCGGATGTGGATTTTCAAATGCGACAAAAATCAATACAATTGCCGCGTTTGAGAATCCACATCGGATGCATTTTTTACATCTCGAGTGTTTTTTTATCTACATCGGACACATCTGTCCTATTACATTTACGTATACTAAATCACGTGATTAAAGATTTACTACATCTCAGATGAATCTGATGTGAATTCTCAAACGCAGCAATAGAATCGTATTTTTTATGTATAGTTCATTTTAAGTTGACTAAAATTTCTATTACATTTTCTTGAAATTTATTACAATTTTGAGAGTTCATCTATTACATTCCTTCAGGGTACTCTGGCAACACTGGCCTCTGCGCTGGAGCAGATGCCGTGCCGAGCAATCGCTAGCATGACCGAGGACAATATTCGATTATGTATAATTAAAACTTATCGAGTTATTTTTAGTTTTTCTTTTCACATATTGAAAAAAGAAAAAGTAGCTTTTGTATAGAAGAGCAACGAAAGTTTCGAGAAACTAAGAAATTCTTTCGTTAACGGAAATAATAAAATTTTCAAAAAGGTCTTATTAAATTTACTACAAATTTCTCAATTTGTGTTACCGATTTGCCAGTCCCTTAGCAGCTCCCACAATTTCTAATTTAAGAAAATCAGTTTCTTAGTGAAAGAGAGGTAACAATAATATACCCACATAAATAAAATAATATCAATTTATAAATACACCAAAAAAATGTTTTAACTCTAATTTTACCAAAGATCCAAGATATCCAATAATCTTTGGTTATGTCTTAGTCTTTCGCGTGGTCTTTCGTCAAATTTTCGACTTTAATGCGCAAACTCTAGTACAATTCCCATTGGAAAACACAATTTCCAATGCTCGTAAGCAGGGGAATATTTTCCCATACTTCTCATTGGAAAATATTCCACCGCTTATGCCGAGAATACGAAAACTGAATTCCCATGGGAAAATTTTATTTTCCCATGGGAATAAAAGTCGAGAATCGACCCCCAGTTCATTGATAGTGTCCAGATTTTTTCATTCTACCCCTCTCCACTTCATTGGCCATGGCACAGCAAAAGTCTTGATTTTTTATGATTCTCTAAAATTGGGTTTACACAAATATTTAAGTTGGTACCATTTTCTTTAAGAAAAAAAATGACAATTGACATTGACATTTTCAATTTATTGATTGTTGTTGTTTGGAGATGTTAATTTGAATTTTATATTCGTAATTTAAAATCATAATATATATTTTATAACGGATTATATTTTAATTTATCTGCAGACCACAGTATTTAATAAAATATTGGAACAAGCGAAAATGATACCTCCTGTTGCTCCTGGGCAAACAGAGGAAACTATAAACATGGTTGGATGGGTATTTATTTAACTATTTTTTTCAATTAAATACCGCTAATATGTTTTATTTTAGAAAAATACATTTAATATGAGACAAATGAGTTTGATGAATTTAGCTGCAAGTTCATTGGCTCAGAAAAATGGAGCAAAAACTACTATTCCCTCATTTCGAAGAGCTTACAGTATTACCAGTCCAACAAAATCCTTAGATATTTTAAGAAAAAATTTACAGAATGCCATTAATAAGGACATTGATAACGTATTGAAAAAATACATAGAGGTATGAATTATGAATAAGAGGTCTTACCAATTTATTAATTTATACACCTGTATTTGTAGAAATTCTTCCATCCTGCTATTGTAAATATTAAAAGTAATTTGGGTAAAGATAGTGTGGGAGATGATCATATAAAGGAAGTATGTAAACAAATGCTTGAGGAGGCGAAGCTCATGTATAAAATATCATCTAGTTCTTGTGATAGTTCACCCTATGAGTATAGCCATAGTGAGGCAGAATCTGAAGCCAGTTTTGCAGATTCAAAGTTTGGAAGAACAGTAAGTAATTGTTTTTTTTTTAGAATTAACCTAGTAGATTAGACAATATTTAAATGCGATTGGAGTAAACTATCTCTATATCATCAAAAGAACATTATTAGACATGTCAATGACCTATCAAACAATAGCTGCCAGTGGGAAGGGCTCGTAGCTCGTATATCTAAGGGGGTTGCGACATAGCCTTCCATCTTGGATGCTATTTTTATTAGAAATAGTAGATGCCAAGCCAACCAATTTATGAAAAATACATAAGCAGTTTTATTTAAATAATATTTTCATTGTGTTCAACATCACATTTTTAAATTTAATCCATTATTCATGATTTCACATATTGTAGATGTTATACATCATATGTCACAACCCTTTAGATATAACAAACCTTCCCACTGACAATTCTTTTGTTTGGAATGCCTGATTGATCATTTAAGATATCGTCGCTGTCAAGTCAAAAACTGCTATATGGGATTTTGTCACAAATTGAGATATTACTGTACATGACACATTTTGACTTTGTTAAACATTCCTATAATGTAATTGTTAGTATTTTTTATTATAAAATATGTTATGTGAGGAGATGTCCGTCCCATTGTTAAGTTTTTTTAGCCTCCTGTAAATTTTGCTAAAAACCTCTATGGACCATTTTATAAGCTTTGTTATTGTGCTCTTGATGCTGCGAATATATCATAATCTTGTTAGACACATTGCATTAAATATGTTTTTTTTTTTAATTATTTATATTTTACCTCAAGAATGATCTTTTTAAGAAGTCAAAAATAGTCAACATTTATAATATTTCTACAGTTGTAACTGCTTTGAAATTATTATCATTATCTCTTACTCTTGTGTCTAACATGAGGATAGGTAAATAAATAAATTTTAAATAAGAGGCATTTAGGGCTATATCTCTCTGGGATGCCACAGCCACATCGCCAGCAACGTCGCCGTGGCTACTCTTGATAATTATAGGTCGCCAAAAACAGACGCCAAAATTGTCAACCTAGTTAAAAAATAGTGTGTTTCCATGTTTCCTACAATGGATGTTGATGAGGCACTTATTTATGTTATATATTGTACACTGAAGGAAAAAACAAATGAAAAAGAAAATGGTAGGTGCATCTTTTATATGTGATCACAGAACAAGTGGTATTTTTTTCAAATTGTTTGGACGATTTCCTCTCAGCTTTTCTTTACTATCTCCATCGGAATATTCCTTACAAGCAGTATTTTAAAGGGATGGTCTGTTTTTTATTTCCACAATAGTGTTCAGTATCAATAGCTGCAATTTCGCGCGCGAGCACACACACACACACACACAAAACAACTTGATGCCGTTGAAAAACAACCTCTTGTCAATGAAACTTGCTACCAAGTGTAGTACAGAATACCTACAACTGTGTACTTTACTGGAAACGTCGCCAAAGTTATCTTTCCAAAATGATCCCATCTCCAAGTCAAGTACCTGCCATTACAATAAATATATTTGCTTAGCGACTTTGTGGTGGCATCCCAGTAAGATACAGCCCTTAGATGTTTTGAAGTAAGATATATACTTGGATGCAAAACTTTCTTAGATTCCCCACATAGATTATTTTTGTGTAAAGAACTTGCTAAAACAATTTTTGAATTAAAGTAAATAAAACATATTGTTAATAAAGAAGCACCCATATCCACTTACCACAGGCCTTTCCATTCATGTTTAGAATATGGAATATTAAGCAGAGGAAATGTCATGGTTCATATGCAAAGGTGATTCATTTTACAAAAATGAGCAGTAAAATTTATTGTTGGGAGCTAAATTTGATGGTACACTGGGAACTTATCTTTAAAAAATAAAAACTGGTTACTATTTTCTCCAAAATTTGGCATATGATCATAATTACAATAATAGAGGGAAATACTATTTAATACCACTGAGAAATCGTTTAAACAAAACAAATAACATTTTATAGAATAAAATTAAAAAAATTACTCGTTAATATGTGTTGACCTTTGGCTGTTTGACTAGAGTCAAAACCTTGTATCATCAAATTACAAGGTTTTCAGGAAACACAAAACTTTTTTTTCAGTAATTGTTAATTTTGTAAAAGTTGCTTTTTTTAAATAATAGAAAAAGGAAAGTCAAGAAGATGCCAAATGGTTAAAAGATTTACATTTTTTAAATTAATCTCTAAAAAAATTACATTCCCTTACACCAAAATATGAGTTACGAGGTTTTGACTCTAATATTTCCTTTTTGTATGAAAAATAAGACTTCTCCATTTAGAAACTTAGGAATTTACTTTATTTATGATAGGTTTATGAAGTCATATTTATTTAGTATATAATTTCAGAGCCCCATTGTGACCTGCAAAAGAAAAGATTGTGATCCAGATCAAGAAATTGGACCAGCTTTTCCTATAGTACCTCCAGTTAAAAAGCCTAGAAACAAGTCTCATCACACTGATTACAGCAGTTGTAAATTGTCTTTAAAGAGGGATGGTCCGAAATGGAATCCAGACAGGATCCGAGGAAACACGCTGTTTATAATGGGAGCCAGAGCTAATAAAGTTTTGGGTTATGGACAGACAAGGGGAAGGTTGTATGTTAGACATCCTAATCTTGTAAGGTACGGACTACAGTAAATTTAAAAGACATTGGCCAAGTAAACCAAAACTTAATTGAAATAGTGATATAAAAGTTTGTATTGCAAATGTTTTAATATTTATACATATTTTTTAAGATATTCCGGAGATCAAGAAGACAAGGAATGGCTTGCATCCAAGAACTTAATGCCTCCAAGTGGTGGAAAAGCATATTTGATGCTTCTGGAAGACATTAAAGAACTTACAGAAAGTGACGAATATAGAAACAGTCTTAACCTACAGCTCCACGAATTAAGAGGATTTGAAGTACCACTATTCCTTCTAATAAAAATTAAGAACTTTATAGAATATGTTAGAAACGAGAGGAAGTTATTAGCTAATGTCGATACTTCTTATGAAGACCATAATGATCATGTTATATCATCTACACCAATGAATACTATTATGACAGTTGAATCTGATCCTCATTCTCATATTTCTTGTGATGGTACAATGATATCTGACCATTCAGAAATGACTTTCAAGACAGATTTCCTAAATATGACTTCCGATATGAGCAGCACATTAACAAGCTCAGTAATTTCAAGTATTCTCTCAAGTAATTTGGCAACTTTACATAATAATGACAATTCTCAGGATTTCTAGTATTTAGTCATACTCTAAATAGAGTATTTTTATTTTTACCAATATTAAAACTGATTTAACTGTTGAAACCAGTTCTGAATATTAATTTAATCAAAAGAGTTAAATTTTTATTTATATTACGATCCAAAACCGTGGCATTGTACCTAGGTTATAATAACGTTGATTAGGAAGGTCACATCGTTTTTATTTTAAAGCCCGACATAATTTTGACTAGAGATTCTCCACTTATTTCGTTAGCATTTTATTTATGGCCCACAGGTAAAAATTAGCTTGTGGAATTTCAATTGACCGTTGGCATTATTTATTATTTCATTAATAACAGTAACAGGTCAAGACCTAATTAAAGCGTAAGAGTACAAAAATATATACAGTGTGTACTTAAGTTGGAACCAAATGAAAAAAAAAATGATTGATTTTTGGAAAAAAGTTATTCGTGATAAAAAGTCCTGCATGACCCAAAACCCAAGAGTAAAGTACGTTTATTTTTGACAAAATCGAAAATTTTCACTAAGAAAAGTTGATTAGAATTGAAAATTACATTCAAATATGCAATTATACTGATCTATATGAAAAATCAGATTTTTTCTAGATTTTGCATTTATCCACCTAATTACGGTAATCCATAATTTTTTTCTCTCTCTTCTCTACTACAAACATGATACGCTTTCCTTTTCTTAATGAAAATTTTCGATTTTGTCAAAAATAAACGTACTTTACACTTGAGCAACATTCATATTTTTGACAAACCTAGTATATGGCTTGAAAAATTTGATATCTGATGACTGTATTTTAAGTTTTGGGTCATGCAGGACTTTTTATCAAGAATAACTTTTTTCCTAAAATCGATAAATACATGTTTTCCATATGGTTCCAACTTAAGTAGACAGTACAATTAATTTACACATATAAGAGACTTTTTTAAAACTTCATGAATAGGAGCGTGTGTTGTACCTTGGGACATATTATTTCTATTTAATTTTTTCCTTAGGACATTTTTTTAAATTGAATTAATCTAATCATGACCATCATACTCAGAAAAACATTAATGTCATATTGACAACTAAAAGAACATTTTTACTTTCAAATTATCCTAAGGTACAACAAAATCTTATACATAATTGTACCTTGGGATAACTAATAAATAAAAAGGAAGACGTCCAAAATATACATAACATATTTGCAACAGATTGATGATGTTTTTTCCATCCTTTATGTTCCCTCATAGCAGGTAAAGCGTGGATTGTAGGTATTTAAGTGATGACTCTTTGTAGAATGTCTCGATGCTTGATTAATGGTATCGTGGATGATGTGGAAAAGGAAGAGAATTGTGCTGAATTATAACTGACTTTATTTTATTTTCTTAAACTTTGGAACTAGTGTAATAACGGCTTAACAAACTATTTGCCGGTTTTAAAAAATCTTTTGCATGTAGCATTTTTCTTAATCAAATTTTTGTGACTGTTTCGTCTGTAGGTTTAAGTTGCTCTTGTACTCAGTATGACCCACCTGTGGTCGTCTTAGCACTCTTATTTTATTTTACTTATATGGGGGTGAATCATAGAATAACTAAAACAATATTTATTTTAGCATATAAAAAAACAAACCTTCTAGCTTAAGTCTTGATTTTTGTTCTTGAACTTTTTGGACATCTTTTGAAATATTCCATTTTATTATTTTTTTTTTTTTTTCATTAATCTAGATTTTCCCTTCTTCCTTTCTCCTCTGGTTTTTCTTGAGCCACCCTTTGGATACGGGAATCTTTTCTACAACTTCATTTCAGATCATGTCCTGCACAAACTAGTATGCATAATCGGGTATTCCCTAAAACACGGGGAGATTGCGCTGGGTGCTTTCCTAGACACAGAAAGCGCGTTCAACAACGCCCTTCCTCAGTATCTGTTCGCTTCTATTGAAAGAAGAGGAATCGACAATCTGACCTGTAATTGGATCAAAAGCATGCTGGCAAACATCATTTCATCACTTCAGAGAGAGAGACGGCCACTTTCAAGCCTGTCAGAGGATGTCCACAAGGCGGCGTACTTTCGCCCCTACTGTGGACCATTCTGGTGGATAACCTGCTAGACGATCTTTCTCGGCAAGGGGTGGATTTACAATGCTATGCGGCAGATCTGGTTATACCAATTAGAGGGAAGTTCGAAGAGGTGATCTCCAACATCCTTCAACAAGACCTAAACACGATTAACTGATGATGCAGATGGAGCAGTGTCTGTTAGCCCCCGTAAAATTGCTATTGTCCTCAACTGATCAGGATTTACCAAACGGTGGTAAAAATCCATGGTTACGCACGGCTCTGTCGCCTGGTGGGGGAAGGGACTGCAACGGACGGCTAGAGCAAAGCTAGCTGGAATCCAGTGACTTGCATGCCTCGCCATTGCTGGGGCAATATCAACCACACCGATGGAGCCATGGAGACCATGCTGGACCTACCACATTCTGCTGGAAAGGGAGGTCGGGATGATCTCCTTCAGACTCTTGAAGGTGGTTAGTCAATGCAACGAAGAACTGTGATGGGTCAAGATGGGGCTGATGAGAGATTAATAACCACCACATCTTCGACATGGTCTCGGACTCGCTAGTTCCTCGACAGTACATAGAAAAGCCATACAGCGTCCTCATTCTAGAGAAAAACGTATGGAGCAGGAGAGATGAAACCCTCTCTCAGGCGGACTATGTGTTGTACACAGTCGGCTCCAAAACTGAAAAGGAGTAGGATCGGAAGTTTTCGGTCAGAGGCCAAGAGTTGACATATCAATAAACCTAGGCTATCTGGCCACGATCTTCCAATTATAAATAATTGCTATAGAATTGGGAAAGAGATTTGAATAATTTTCTTCCCGAAAATACGACTAAAAACATGTTTTCGGATAGCCAGGCAGCTTTCAAGGCCCTGAGCTCCAATCGAGTTGACTCAAAGCTGTTTTGTAACTGTATAAATACCCTTGAATGGCTCGGTGCTTGGAACAAAGTTACTTTGATCTGGGTTTCGGGACACGCTAAAAGCGGAACCGAATCTGACTTCATAGGACCAGAACCATTCCTGGGAATTGCAAAGGGCACTGCCAAAGGAATTATCTCAAAATAGACGGAGGGTCAACACTCATGAACTGGAGAGATACCCCAGGGCTACCACATTCGAAGGTGTTTATAACCAACCCTTCTATGAATGCCTCTGCTCAGATCCCGGAATAGAGTAGGAAAGATCTATGTATTTTCACGGGACTAATGACAGGACACTGTCGTCTGGGTAACTGCATTAGAAGGATAGACCTGCAACAAACATCGGACTGTCGATTCTGCAGCGTGGAAGACGAATCTGCAGAGCACATTTTAGTTACCTGCTCTGCTTTCAAAAGAACAAGGTTTCATATCTTCATATTTACCCGACTGGAGCCTACCAACTTTAACAAGTCTCACCCAATTCAAACATGGCCTTCATCAAAAGGTGTGGCTTGTACGGTGACCTATAAGTTAGTCATGAGCCACAATTGATCCATTTGGGTCGCAGTGGGTCGTCCCACTAATTTTAATCTAACCTACAACTTCATTTGCAATATCTGTCTCTGGTCGATCTGTAACAAAGAGACTTAAAAATTCATCTTCATTCAATATTTTCGTATTTAGAGGGCAAATGCCTGTTACAGAAAACTATTTTGTAATGTTCTGTTGAGTAAACGCTTTTGAAGCATCCCTTCACTAACCTCTTGATTTTAATGTCTTATTTGGGCCAAACACAGTTTGATCCAAAGGTTAGAGCTTGTGCTATGTGTGGAGTGAAAATGTAAGTAATACAACGTCATTGGACTTTGCGAGATCAATTACGGGAATGATATGGCTCTCATGATTATCAAAAACTAACAAAACTGGGTTGTCTTTGGATGTCTTTACATGTTTGTTGAAGTGGCTCATGTACTGAATGAATGTTTTTCGTTATACCAACCTGAGGGATTGGCAGCTGTAATAAAGTCTCGAGTTGGAAAATATTATACCACTCTTTTTGTGTGATATTAAAATAACATTACCGAATAAAAGTGAAATGTTTTACTGTTAATAGCTTTTAGTTTATTTGCACGTAAAATTATATTTTTTTGTCATATAACTGGTTTCAACAGTGTAATATACTGATGAAGTTATTTTTTACAAAGTGTCTAAAAATATATCTTGTATGTTATAATGAAATATACCATAAAACGACTTAATTTAAAAGTTTTTGATGGTATAAAGTAAAAAAATGACTGATATATTTTATTTTAAATTGATCAACTTGTTGACTGAAATTTATATGTATTTACTATTTTGAGACATTTTGTATTGTGATGCAGTGATACCGTAGTATTTTTTGAATATATTTTTATTATTAATAAAACTATATTAAGTTTTAAGGTCAAATGTTACCGGTAATGTGTACATATTTATTTAATTTGCTTATTGTAATTAGTATCTGTCTAATAATGCATAAAATGAAAAGTTCTCCATCTCTTTTATTTGCCCTACAATAGATGTATCAATACAATATGATCAGTAGCAGATAAATATTTTTGTCAATTTATTTTTAGTGTCCAATAGAAACAAGACTTTACAACCAAAACCGAATTTCGAGAAACATACATTGTCTTTTAAGGAAAAACAATGTTGTCATGTCACTCGAATCCAAATATTGTACACTATGGTCAATATTATAGTATTTTATCTTGCCTAATTATCATTATCGTAGTTTTTTATCGTTTATAAATTAAAACAATGAAAAAAAATTTAAAATTAACCACCCTGGACTTGAGTCAAAAATGTTAATAAAAATAACAAGTACTTTTCTTATAAAAGTATAGAAGAAACTAGAAAAACCAAAAAAATAAAAAATAGTTTTTTAAAATAGTTGATAGAATTAAATGAATTAAATTATTGAAAGAGAACGTTTGAGGCATATTGTGAAATTATCGCACACGGTCGCCCTTGTGCCGAACGCCGCTAAGCGTGATGCGAAAACTCTCGAAAGTTTCTGTTTCGGCGACTTTGCCGCTGAAGCCGAAATTACAACAGAAACCGAACCTTATGTCGGACACTATTTACTTTAAATAGGGCATCCCAAGGGTTAACCCAATTACGGGATAGGTAAGACACTATAGTTAAAACCGAATTCACATTAAGAAGGGTATAATTGCTCCGTTAGCCATACTCCATCAGTCATTTAACTTCATTATAGAGTTAAGTTTAGGTGAAACAAATGCAAATCAGTTCAAATCTGTCTAAGACCTCTAAAATATATTTAATTATTATAACAGTGTATCATGTAGCTAGGTTACTCTTAAATTGACGTCCATTTGTGAGTTTTACTTCTATTTGAACATATGTATAGGTAGGGGAGCTAGTCACATTTTTTGGTACACATTTGCACAAAGTAAATTTACAAATTTTTCGTTCATTCTTGTCTTGTATTTTGCTG